CTTTTTTCTAGAAATCAATTTATAATGGTAAGGGAGGCATGAAAGGCTATCAATTAATCCCCTCTCTTCCCACTTCTTTTTTTTTTTTTGTTCTCCATTTCTTCCTACCATGACTGATTCATGTAATTTTTTTCTGATCTGCCTTAGTCTAGTGTTTAAAGGATAAGCTAAGTTCCTAGGGGTTCCAAATTCAAATCCTTCCACCTCCAGAAATCATAAAAGATTAAATATATATATCATATAGCTTTTGATTAATGACATATCATCTTTTCACATATGGTATCCAATTATCCATTTCAACAAAACCATTTGGGTTGATATGTTTTGTGCTGAATAGCATGAACTTTTATTTATATGTTTCAACTATTAATTTGTATTTTATAACACTGTAAATGCTAAATAATTCAATTGAACAGAGAGAATATGAAGAATTCAAGGTGCGGATCAATGCCCTCGTTGCAAAAGCTCAGAAAATGCCTGAAGAGGGTTGGACAATGCAGGATGGCACACCATGGCCTGGAAATAATCCTAGGGATCATCCAGGAATGATCCAGGTATTGTTGACCATCCTGGTTTGTATTCTTAATGAATTGAACTTCATTTTATGTTTATCTTAATGGTTCTCATTATCTTTAAAATATTTTTATGTGGAACATCAGGTGTTTTTAGGCCATAGTGGGGGACTTGATACTGATGGAAATGAGCTACCACGACTCATTTATGTTTCTCGTGAGAAACGCCCTGGCTTCCAACACCACAAGAAAGCTGGAGCCATGAATGCTTTGGTATGGACCATGCCTAAACACATGAATTCATTCTAAAACAGCATGATTGCTTAATGAGTTTGATCAGTAAGAAACTTTATTTAGTACTAACGTGAATACTTAACATTTAGAAAGAGTTTTGAGGCACTAAGGCTTGACTAGAATGTTTTAAGTTAGTGTTCTGGACAGAAACATAAGAGTGATGAAAAAGCTTTTAAACTGACTTTGCCTACCATGATTTGGTGCAATACATTTGGTTGCAATGATCCTGGGACACTAATGCCAAAAATATATGGACTAAAATAAATCTATTTTCTAACCTGAGTTTAACCTGTGAAACACAGATTAGAGTTTCAGCTGTTTTGACCAATGGAGCATATTTGTTGAATGTGGATTGTGATCACTACTTCAATAACTGTAAGGCTCTTAAGGAAGCCATGTGTTTCATGATGGATCCTGCACTTGGAAAGAAGACATGCTATGTACAGTTCCCCCAACGTTTTGATGGCATTGACTTGCATGATCGATATGCCAACAGGAATATTGTTTTCTTTGATGTAGGCATCACTTTATTTGTCATCACTGTGGAATTTTTATTGTTTACTGTTCAGTGCTTATTTATGTGAAATCATCTTTTTCTTGTGTTATGTTATGCAGATCAACTTGAAAGGGTTGGATGGCATCCAGGGTCCAGTCTATGTGGGAACTGGTTGTTGTTTTAATAGGCAGGCTCTATATGGGTATGATCCTATTTTGACTGAAGCAGATTTGGAGCCAAACATTATAGTCAAGAGTTGCTGTGGTTCAAGGAAAAAGGGGAAGGGTGGGAACAAGAAGTACATTGACAAGAAAAGGGCCATGAACAGAACTGAATCCACTATTCCTATTTTCAATATGGAAGACATTGAAGAGGGTATTGAAGGTTTGTTTTCATGAAAACTTTATTTTTCCTGACTTCTCTCACTCTATATAGTCTGCTGGATGCTGATACTAGATCTCAATTATCTGGTTAATCTATTAATGACATGGGATGATTATTAGTCTGCATGCATTCCAAAAAAAATTACATCATTTATTTATTTTGTATTAGGTTGGCATTATCCTGTATGCTCCAATTTGATCAAACTGATAGCAAAACTAGGGGCTGCTATTGGACAGGCACTCAATATGTAGTTTTAACTTTATTCTTTATCTTTTGCAGGATATGATGATGAGCGGTCACTTCTCATGTCCCAGAAGAGCCTGGAGAAGCGCTTTGGTCAATCCCCAGTTTTTATTGCAGCCACCTTCATGGAGCAAGGTGGCATACCACCGTCAACAAATCCTGCAACTCTTTTAAAAGAAGCAATCCATGTCATTAGTTGTGGATATGAAGACAAGACTGAATGGGGAAAAGAGGTCAGTAAAGTACCATTGCATTTGGCAATATGTAAAAAGTTTCTGCTTTTGATAGACATTAACTAAGTCTTTTCTTCTGCCACCAGATTGGATGGATCTATGGTTCTGTTACAGAAGACATTTTAACTGGGTTTAAGATGCATGCCCGTGGTTGGATATCAATCTATTGCATGCCTCCCCGCCCAGCATTTAAGGGATCTGCTCCTATCAATCTTTCTGACCGTCTGAACCAGGTTCTTAGGTGGGCTCTGGGATCAATTGAAATTCTGCTTAGCAGGCATTGCCCCATATGGTATGGCTACAATGGAAGATTGAAGCTTTTGGAGAGAATTGCGTACATCAACACTATTGTGTATCCCCTGACCTCTATTCCTCTGCTTGCTTACTGCATGCTCCCTGCCTTTTGCCTTTTGACAGGGAAATTCATTATTCCTGAGGTAACTGACTAGCAGTTTCTTCTTATGGCTTTTTTATGGGCCTCATTCAAGCCCCTAAAATTTTTACAGAAAATTTTTACATCATGTTCTGCTTACTCAACGTTCAAGCCTATATCTTTGCTCCATTATTTATGCAGATAAGCAACTATGCTGGCATGTGGTTCATTTTGCTCTTCGCCTCCATTTTTGTCACTGCAATATTTGAACTTAGGTGGAGTAAAGTGAGTATTGAGGACTGGTGGAGAAACGAACAGTTCTGGGTCATTGGTGGCACATCAGCTCATCTCTTTGCTGTCTTCCAAGGGCTTCTGAAAGTGCTTGCTGGAATTGACACCAACTTCACTGTCACGTCAAAGGCATCCGATGATGATGGGGATTTTGCAGAGCTTTATGTTTTCAAATGGACATCCCTCCTCATCCCCCCTACTACTATACTTATAGTGAACCTGGTGGGTGTTGTGGCTGGTGTATCGTGGGCCATAAACAGTGGTTACCAGTCATGGGGTCCACTTTTTGGCAAGTTGTTCTTTGCCATTTGGGTTATTACCCATCTCTATCCTTTCCTGAAGGGTTTACTGGGTCGGCAAAATCGTACCCCCACAATCGTTATTGTGTGGTCTATTCTCCTTGCTTCAATTTTCTCTTTGTTATGGGTGCGTATTGACCCCTTCACTTCTGACTCCACCAAAGCTGCTGCAAATGGTCAATGTGGCATCAACTGCTAGTTCAGTCCAGAAATCATTCTCTTGTGGTAATTGCCATCTCTCCCTCAAGTTTGCTATCATGTATATAACAAAAAAACCTCGAGGCCAACTATTAATACATGTGTCCTAATGTTGGGAGGGAGTACGCTAGAAGTCTATTATTTATGTCTGATGGATATGAAGACTTTAGAAACAGACCTCATTTTGTATCTCATTTTGTTACTACCAATCTTAAACAAGGTGTTCATTTTTCCTTTTCTCGTGGTAAGGGCACAAGCCACAAGTTGTTCATGATATGGTGCAGACTTGCTTGCATGCATGTTGATGTGGTCGACCCAAGTTTGTCATTGATACTAGTGTTATGAAGTCCGTGTAGAAAATGTTCCTTGTGTAATGAAAGGGAGTGCAGGACTGTCATTCCCTTCTCAAGTATTTGAACTGAGGCTCATGGTATAAATTCAATCATGACATTCTTTTCTAAGATGGTAATTGTTTGTCTGTTTGGTGAAGTTAAATCTAGAACAATTGGGGCCTTTTGAGAACAAAACTGTGATTCACAAGTCACTGATTAAAATGGACAATTCTTCATGATCGGAAAGCAACTCAATTTTTTATATAGAAGGTGCCAAGGCAACAGAATATAGGAGAAAAAGGAGATGGGATTCACCGTTTAGGAACTGAATAAATCATTCAAAGGTGACAAGTGTTAACCAAGTGAATAAATCACACAACAATTGAGCTTACATTAAATATTTAGGTCAAATGTTCCACGTCTATCTTATATATCTTTCCATTAATTACTAGAGTTAAACAAGAAACTATAGACCTCTTATTTTTGAGAAATGATTTTTGTTTAGCATTTTTATCTTTTTTTTTTTTTATACAACTTAACGTGTCATTAAAATGATTAATTTTTTTAATTTATATGAGACTCATAATATTAAATATATCTACTCATTTAATAATATATAAAAATTATGTAAAAAATTAATATAAAAATATTATCTCTACGACACCATTCTTTATTTTTACAAAGACTATCATCAAACATTGCTAAATGGAAATAATATATATATTGCCCTTACTTTTACAGAAAAGATTAGCACCGGACATTGTTAAATAACGTGGCCCAATGAAAGGGGGAGTGTTGGCCGGAGAGTGCAAGAGGCGAGTGCCCCTAGCACTGCTCTTGTTAAATTGAAAAAAATAAAATAAAAAATAAATAAAAAGGGGTAAGTGGGTTGATGTGCTAAGCCCAAACTCCTCCTGAGCCCAGCCTGATAACAAAACAGCGTCGCTAGAAAACCCCCCATTAAAGGCTAGAATTGGTGAAGGGTTTCAGTGCTTTTGATTAGCCTCCTGCTCCAATCCGAGTAGAAGCTTCGGGATTTTAGGGTATTTATCTCTCTAGAACCTGTCGAGCGAAATCAATGGAGGGGATTACAGAGGGAGTGAACAACATCAACATCAACATCTCTGATTCTTCTGCCCTCAACAGGAGGAACCGTATCCAAGTCTCCAATACCAAAAAGCCCCTCTTTTTCTATGTCAACCTCGCCAAGGTACTCTCTTTCCATTTCTCGCTGGTTTTAATTTTTACCTTCTTCGTTTTCCGGTGATCTGTTTGGCTAATTAGAAAATTCCCTAAAGGAAAGTTTGAGCAAGATGATGTGGGTTTTAGTAAATAAGGGCAATGAAAGGAGCATGAGCTTTTCTATGGTTGGTTTTTGATGGGTTTATTTATTTAGTAACTGGGTTGTGTTTGTTCTTCTTATTGATTCGAGATGCCTGGCTGATTTATGCTTCATTGCTGTTAATGGAAAATAGAAAAGGGGAGTCAAGGCATAGAATCTTCTCATTATAAAAGATTTTGGGTTGTCATTCAAATTTTAAACAATCAATTTTTTGTCTTGCAGAGATACATGCAGCAATTCAATGAGGTGGAACTCTCTGCGCTTGGGATGGGTATTCTTTCGTTGTCCCTTTTATGTTTTCTCATTTGGGCATAAAAAGTAGCAACTGCTATGGTTCTCTTGCAACTATTATTTAGATGTAGTGCTGATTTAATGGTGATAGTGGCATGGCAATTGGCATGGTGCTGCTTTCTACCTTTCTTGTAAATGATTATTGGTTTTAACTAAATTGGATTGATGGGTTCAACTGTGGTTGTCCAATTTATCTTCCATCTCTGCATTTTTATCAACTGTTTTGGTATAATTTTATTATCATTTTGGAGTTTTACAATTATAACGCTGTTTGATGCACAAAGTAGCTGCTGTCTTCAGTAAGCTAGGAAATATTAGGTTGAACTACCATTCTGTACTGCCATACAGGCAGTAATATTTCTTTAATCATTCAACTGTTAATTTGCGAAAATGTGTATTACTCATGTTGAATTGGTGGAATAGTTATTGCTGAATTTATTTCATTCTTCCCTTCCCTAAATGGTCTGCATTTTAATATTTTCTGCAGCTATTGCTACAGTTGTTACAATTGCTGAGATATTGAAGAACAATGGACTGGCTGTTGAGAAGAGTGAGATTCTTATCCTTATCAGGATTGTTTGGAGCTTTTGTTTCATGTGAGCTTTTACTAACTATGGTATTATGCACTGTTTACAGAAATCACAACATCTACTGTTGACATGCGGGAGGAATCAGGTGGAAGACCTGTTCAGAAAGCAAAAGTAAGTCTCAAATGCAATTTGCAATCTAAAAATTTAGGTTGCATTCTTGTAGGGGTTACATTAGTCAGGTCTTACCTTAGTCAGACAGACTAACTGTATAGGGTTTAGCCATCATACATAAGTTCATAAATATTTAATATTTGTTATATCTGCCTTTATTAACCTACATGATATTTGCCTTCCTTCCGTTGAAGGACTCTGGTGGTTAGATTTGTCCTCTTTGCTAGGCTTACCTGGTGTGGGATATTGCACTTTTGATCATGAACAGAACTTATAATGGTTAGCAGTTGGGTTGAAACCAATAAACGTAGAACCCCTATTTGAAAAGGCTGTTATGTCTTTGTACATGGTTGTGCCTAAAAGTGTTCACTCACTTTTTAACATGGGTACTCGGTTATGTGTCTAGGGTTACTATTAGTTGTTGGGTTGGCTTCTTAAGTGCGTTTTCTTGGTGATCTTTTAACTTGAATATCCATCAAATCTTTATACTACTCAATAGACTAAAAACTAATGAAGTAGTTATCCATTGACTTATGGTTTTGAACATCCTTGAATATCTTTGCATTGGAGGCTGATATTTTGATCTTTATTTATGCTTTTGTAGATTGAAATTCTACTTGGTAAGTCCGAGAAATTTGATGAATTAATGGCTGCTGCCGCTGCAGAGGAAGCCTTGGATAATGAGGAGCAGAGCTGAGATAAAATCTGAATTTACCCTCTTCTTATTCTAGCTAATTTTGGTGTGGATTGACATTTTAGTAGTTACCAAGGATTTTCTTCTATGAATTTTTGTAAAATACTATGCCTATTTTGTTATTTATAAATTCAAAATTTATTGTTAGTGCCTCCACATGCATGGAGTACCTGTAGTTATACCAAACTGCTTTCATTTTTTTTCTCTTTAGAAATTTACTAAATTTGCTATATTTTTTCCAATCATTTAGGTGAACCAAGTGAGTCTTTTCATAACGAGGTGTTGATATTATCTGAATGAGTAATGATAGTGGGACGAAGGAATGGAACGAAACTAGGTGATAAGTTACATGATATAAATTATGTAATTGATTATATATAATATTATGTCTTTTTATTTTAAAAGAAATAATTATTGCACTTGAGTTTCATGACTCAATGGTTTTATTTTTTTTTTTTATCAGCAAAGTAAATATATTATTCATGGAGTATAGGACGTACTCAAAATCCATTACATTACTAAAACATAAAGTTCCATTCATAGCAAAAGCTCCTGGAAATATGACTGGAGCCTACAACAACAGAAAGTAATCAAACACATGTTTTCAAAACATTTATCTGCCTTTAGGGGTGAAAATCCATCACATTTCTACCGTCATCAAACCTTCTTCCTTGATGTCCATTGAGTGCTGAATAATCTCAAATTCATTGCTGCATTCTCATGTAGCCTTCTGTTGGTTTTGAACGCCATTTGACTTGCACAAGGTCTGGGCATAATGCTGTTTTGCACCAGTAAAATGATCTAAACTTTATCAGCTCAACAACCTGCTCCCTAGTGTCAGCTCCATCTTTAAATATTTTCTGGTTTCGCGAAATCCAAATAGACCACATAGTTGCAAACCAAACAACATTCCATATTTCCTTTACAAGACCTGTGGTTATCATGCCAATGTGTTTCATGACTCAATGGTTTTATATCTCATGGTAAACTGCATCCCTTAGTCTTAGAATTGGGATTCAAATTTCTCATCCCATGTTATAAACGGTTTAAAAATAAAATTAATTATTAAATAATATATTTTTTAAAATATTTTAAATAACGTGACATATTATTAATCATAAATTTTGATCTTGTCTATTGTTATTTTATTTGAATTTAAAATATGGATTATACTGGTCTTGTAGATAAGCCAACAACATTT